TTTTTCCCAAATTTTACACGAATAGTCAAACAGTCATTGGAGTTATGCCCATAATCCTGGATAAGCGCATAATTAAAAGGCATCTGTGAAAGACTGAAAAGAGATTGTGAAGATTTGCCAAATAGGCAAGACGGAATTGAATTTTTCATAACGCAGTTTAATTCTGCAGAAACAGAACTGCCCCCTCCTCAAAAGAGGAAAGTTGTTTGAGCATTTTTTCAGCATTCATCTTGCAGCATGCTTTTTCAGGAAACGTTTACGCAGGAAACCAGGAATGGTTTCATACCTCCCCATTTTATAAATAAGGAAACTGAGACTCAGAAAGATTAAGTGCTTTGCCCAAGTTCAAGTTCACACAGCCAATAGGTAGCTTGTCGAATCAGGGTTCCTTGAACCTCTCACTCACCCCGTTGGACCAGGAAGGAGGGGCCAGGCTGTCTGAGTCTCTGCCTGAAATTCCAGAGTGACACCCAGCCCCCAGACCTCTGTTCCAGCGGCTCCCCTGGAGGTTTCTCTGGATGGGCAGGCTGTGGAGGGAGGTGGCCCCAGCCCCTACAAAGGAAGACAGGGTATCTGAACCTGCACCCGAACTGTGGGCCAAGACGGATGGAGCCCCAGGCAGGACCACCCATGCACCTGCTTTGGGCACTTAGGTCAGGGCAGGATTGGGGCAGAAAACACCCTCCAGCTCCTGGCTCTGCCACCTGCAGTGTGACCTTAGCAAGCCACCTCACTGCTCTGTGGTCAACTGTAAAGTGAGGATAATTGTAACCAACCTGTCGATGCTATCATGAATACCAAATAAATCACATATGTCAAGTGCTTTTCAACCTGTGCAATGCTGGACCAGTGTAAATAGAGGCTTTCTAGTTTCTCTATTTTTAGTTGCTGCCTCCACCACATCCCCTCCCAGGCTGAGGCTGCTTCAGGCTTTGACCATCTCCCCCAGGGCAAACATTGACCTCTCGGCTCTGGTCAAAGTCTGTGTGGGGTCTAATCCATTCCCAATAAACAAACAGAAGTCCCTCCCCCACCTTCTCCTCCTCTTGCTAGCCCCGCCCAGTACACATACACACATACACACACACACACAGACACATACACATACACACATAAGCATATGGGTGCATGTGCTTGCTCTCTCTCTCTCTCACACATGTACATACACACACATACACATAGACACATAAGCATATGGGTACATGTGCTTGCTTGCTCTCTCTCTCTCTCTCTCTCACACACACACACACACACACACTCACTCACTCACACTCAAACTCACACCGTTCTCCCATCCACCCTTCCCCACTGGAAAGGAGGCCAGTGTCGTCTTGGTGCAGCAGAGCCGCGGGAGCCGCCCAGGACACGCACTTGTTGCACTGTGCTTTTGCACGGACTTCTGCATTTCCTGGCTCCACCCAGCCTGAAACTGCAAAAATATCACAGCAGGTGGCAGCCCCCGAGCACCAGCCGCTGCTCTGGTGGTCACATGGCCTCCTGAGTAACTCTACTCTCCAGTCAGAGCCCTTGGGGTGGAGGGACCCATAGAGAACCTATGTTTTTATAAAACCCATGGAAAATCATCTGTATACACGCACACTGCTAAGGAGTCTGAGGACAAAGAAGTGTAAGTAGTGGGTGATTTAATTTTAGGAACTTTACTTTCTGTCAAGTTATTGAAATGTTTAATTATGTTGTTTAAGTTGACGTAACTGTTTGCCCAGGAAGTTTAAAATTGATGCAATATGGCCAACCAGATAGGGCTGGTCATTTGGGCAGGCACAGAAGCAGATGTCAAGTGGGAAAATTCTAGAAGCTGCTGCCTGCTGACTCTTCATTGAGCCATGAGGCTGGGAGAGGTCAGGAAAGGCCTGAGACTCAGGCAGCTCTGGCTGACCACTCAGTTTCTAGAACGAGAGCAGGCCCTGGCGCCAGGCCGTATGCCCTCTCTGCTGCCGGGCAAGTCATTCACATTCTCTTTCTGGTTTTCTGCTCGTACCAATAATATATGCTTACTGTGAAAGAATTCGAGGAATATATAAAATTATAAGGAAGAAGGTAAAAGTCACATGAAGTCCTATGACCTGAGAGAAACGATATTAACATTTTAGGGAATTTCTTTTGGGGGTACTGCTTTGCATGAACACCACCCACACACAATATTTTTAATTTGCTTTTGTTTATTTTTCACCTTCCACCTCTCTTTTCTGTCTCTCTTCCCCCACCAATAACAAAGTAAACAACTTGGTCTCCACCCTCCCCAACCTCTCTCCATGGAAATTCACATGCATGTGCCTACGTGGGGGTTTCCTTTCTCATTCTTTGGTGTTTCCAAATATAGGATGGCCTCATGCTCTTCTTTGCTTCTTGCTTTTCTCACCTAATGGCATGTTGTAGAAATTCCTCTTAGCCTCACTGGTAAACATCTAACGCATTCTTTGTAATAGCTTCGTATTTTAGAGAATTTTAAAGTGCAGCTTTACTCAACAATTCCCCAATCGGTGGGCAGTTACAAACTTTCATTTTGTTTTGTTTTTTGTTGCTACAACTATTGCTGCAATAAACATTTTTATCTCTCTCAAATTCCTATATAATGATGTTTTATTACTCCGTGAGAGTCCCAGAAGTGGGATTGTAAATCAAAAGGTATGTGTATTTTTAAATTTTAATAGAACTTGAAAGATTGCTTTCTAAAAGATTGGTCATATTTCTATTTTATTTGTTCAATAAATATTTATTAAGCACTTACTCCGTGCCAGACACTGTTTTAGCAATTTGGATTCAACAATGAATAAAATGAAGATCCCAGTCCTTACAGGGCTTTCATCCTAGAAATGGAGTGGGGAAGAGCAGATGAAATAATAACTATAATAAATGCTTTTGCACCAGAGTGTGAAGATGCAATTCTCCCTGGCTTTACTATCAACAATTGGTATATCATTCCTTTTCTTTTCTCCCAATCTTATCGATGTAATGTGATGCTTTATCTTAATTTGCATTTTCCAATTTGTAAGTAAATTTAATATTTTTCACGTTTATTTAGCTATTTGGATTTGTGTTGGATGATTTGCTTATTTATTACTCATTTTTCTATCAAGTGGATTGCATGCTAGACCCATACTTCTTGTCAATTTTCATGAACTCTGTGTATATTATAAATAGGCATTTATCTGTTGTATGCTTTGAAATCCTTTCTCCCAATCTATTGCTTGTCTGTTGAATTCATGATGGTTTCTTTTACCATGAAATACGTTTAATGTTTATGAATTTGTCTTTTTGGCCTCTTAGCTTCTGGCTATTCTATCTTTGTTAATTGTTATCTCCAAACTCTGGGCCATTTGTATAGTCTCCTTAATCCTTTTCCAATTAATTTTTAAAATATTTTTTAATATACTTAGAATTTATTTTTTAATATGATGTAAGGTAGAGTTCTAATTTTTCTGGGAAAAATATTTTCTTCTAGGTAGATAGCCATTTTCCCAATACCATTTATTAAAATAAACCATCAGTTCTCCACTGAATTAAAATGCCAACTTTTTCATATACATAGTTCCCAAATGTAGCAGAATCTATTTGCATGCTTATCATTCTGCTCCATTGATTACGTGTCTATTCCTATTCCAATTTCATGCTGTTTTGATTGCAGTCTTGTTTTTCATAATTTTAAAGATGAGTTAAAACTTTACTCAGATAATTTTATCTAATAAAAATTGTAATTATTATTGAAAGCACACAATTTGTATTAGGAACAAGAAAGAAGTATAATCAAGAAAGAGAAGAGATTAAAATAATTACAAGACAGTAAAATGTAAAACTTTCTCGCAACAAATTGGAAAACATAGAGTAAATCAAAGATCTCCTGTAAACCATATAAATCACCAAAATGGCGCAAGGAGGAGGAAAACATGGGGACAGACCAATTCCACTAGAAGAAATTGGAGATGTACTTAAAGATCGACTGTTTAAAAGGGACCAAGGAACAGATGTCTTACGGCTGAGTTCTATCTAGTCTTTAAAGAAGAAATAGTCCCAATGTTATTAAACTATTCAAGAACATAGGAAAAAAGATGGGAAGCCCCCCGGTATGTGCTATGAAGCCGGCGTCATCTCAATGCTACCACCTCATAGACAAATTCCACTTAGGAATGTAGATTCTCGCTCTAAATAAAATATTAACAAATAGGATCCATCCATGTAACAAAAAAGACTAACGCACTGTAACCCAATAGCTTTTATGCCAGAATGCAAGGATGGCCCAACAGCAGAAAATTTATCAACATAGTACATCAACAAATTAAAGAAGAAAAATTATTATGTTAATAGATAGTAAATAGGCACCTGATAAAATTCAGTAGCCATTCTTAATACAAAACTGTAATCCTTTATCCAAAATTCTTATACCCCAAAATCGCTGAAAACTGAAATGTTAGCCTGTAACTTTGGCATTATGATTCATTTGATGCTAAAGTTGATCTGAACTGACATAAAGAAACTACTTAAATACAAAAAGTATTGTTCTTTACAAATGTGAAGTATTACATGTTCTGTATGCAAGACATATTCAAAAAAATACTTGTGGATTATTTGTTACTCTGTCATATTCAAAATTATTATAGTCTTTTCTTTTTTTCAAAGTGAGTTTAAGGAGAAATAATATGAGGCATGTACTTTCAACTCTCTGGAAGAAAAGCATTACTGTGTCTCACTGAATCTAAGACATCACTGCGGGGAAGGCCAGCATTTATTTTATGTAGCACTAAAAGAAAAAAAGATGCTGCTAATTACTCTATGAATCATCATCAAATGTAAGACACATCCCAGTCTCAGAGATATTGAAATGTGAAAAAAGATACATCTTAGAATCGATGAAATACAGTGCATACATCCAAACGCGATCAGGAACTCTCCACCAGCCCCACGGATCATCAGACGAGTGCAGGAACTCAAGCCCTTTCTTCTAAACATGTGCCTCTTGGGGATGGGCCAGGTGTGAGGTATGTGGGGTGGTCTTCCGTCAGCTGGGGCTCCAGGGTTGTCTCTGCACTGGTTAGTTGTTTAACCGTGAACCAGCCATTCAATGTCTCAAACCTCAGTCCTGGGCAGTGATGGTACCTACTTAGACTTCTTTAGAGAGCTGAAAGGGTGATACGAGATAGGGTTTGTGAAACTCTCAGTCAAGAGGAAGCCTTCTCTAAATAGCTGCCCTGTGGAATGATGGTGGTGGTGATGGTGGCCGTGGTCTCCAGGGTCTTTCCCACATCTGTCATCCCAAAATTCAGTACCCAAGAAAAATCTTGACCATATTTCTGTCCCCTCTAAAGATTCCCCAATATTCCTGGGAAGCTGCACTTGGCCTTAGATGCCTGTACTATCTTGTGCCCTAAATTTATAGCATCTTACCCGCAAGTCTGAGCTGGAACAAACCCCGGAATGTTCTAGCATGGGCCGAGAGAGGAAATGTAACTTTCCCAAGTGACGCACCCAGTGACTAAATGAAGACTAAAACCCAGATACATTGGTCAGACTTTTTCTAGAACACCATGTGGCCTCACTGCCAGGGCTCCTGTCTCCAGGCGACTGGGAGCCACCCCACCAGTTTCTGGTGGTTTCCTTAGGCCAGATGATCTCTTTCTCTCCTATACTCAGTCATTTCTTCATTCTGGGCTGCCTCTTCCTACTCTGGGAAAAAAGATGGATACAAGCTTAGCCCATCCAACCCCCTTCTGACTTTGACCTTCACTGCCCCCCAACTTCCACCCCACCTTTCTAATCGGCTGCCCGGAAGGGGTTTGGGGGAGCTCTTCTGCACAGAAGCTCTGAAGACCTACTCACATCGCCAGTCTGCTGTGTGCTCTCCGACAGGATGGGAGTGGTGAGCAGCAAAAAGCAGGTGAAAGAGAAGGAGAAGGGCGAGTGGAGCCCTGTGAAGGCCAGCACCCAGAGCAAAGATCCCCCACCGCTGCCGCCCCTGGTGAGTGAGCTGCCCCCAGCTGGAGAGGGACCGGGAGGGGAAAAGCACAGAGCACGTGAGGCTCCCTGGGGGCTGCTGCGTGTCTCCAGCCAGCCCCAGCACCATCTCTAGATAATTCAGGGCTCCGACAAATAAGCCCCCTCTCCCTGCCCTCAACTCACGTCGGTATGGAAGTATAGTTCAATGTTTAGCAGCCAGATGGCCGGGATCAAACAGCTTATGTTCCTCTGAGACTTGGGGTTCAGACCTGCTCTCCTTCCGTGAGCTTCATCCACGTCGATGCATAGCTCACTGACTCCCACAGTTGTGTAGGATTTCACGGCATGGCTGTGCCGCAGTTTGTCTATTCTTCTGTCATTGGTCATAAGGGTGATTTCCATGCTGTGACAATTTTTATGGATTCTTATTAATTTTGTTGGGAGCATTCTTGTACATGTTTCCCGATACACATATGCAAAGGTTTCTTTACAGAGTGTACGCTTAGGAATATATTTGCTGAGTCTTAGGGAAATACGCTTTTTAAATAATTTTTCTTGAGAACAAATACTCTTTTGCAAATTCATCTTTTAATAGCAGAGCCAGGATTGTAACCTGGGGGACCTGGCATTCCCTGCATGGCACAGCTGCCTTTTACAAAGGTGGGGCATCCCCACATAGCCCTTCTCCAACTGTGTGTGTGGGCAGGGCAAAGACGGCAGGTGGGCCCGGGGGTGTGCGAGGTGGCGCTGGTACCCGGGAAGTTGCAGCAGCTTGTGTAGAATCTCCCTGCGCGACACCTGTGCCCACAGAGCAGCTGCCCTTGGACATCCTGCTGGTCCTGCCCCAGCCTCTGGGTGCGGAACTAACACAGTGCATGTGTTTCTGCTCCAGGTCGTGTTTAACCACCTGCCTCCTGCACCTCCTGACACACACCCAGGCCAAGGTAAGAAAGGGCTGTTTTGGAAACTGAGGCTCCATGGCCCTCTACCCCAGGCCCCGACTTTGCGCAGTTAGAACAGAGGCTCAGTCAGGAGCAGCTCCCTGGAGAAGATGGGGTGCAGGCCCGATAGGGCAGGAGAGCAGAAGGCTGGGGGTGCTGAGTGAGGAGCAGCGAGGCGTGTGGCCCAGCTCTGTCCCAGGCTTCACCTGCCATCGGGGGCCTCTCCAGGAACCAAGCACCAGCTCCCTTAGTGTCCCTGAGCCTGGGTGGGATTTTAGAAAAAAATGACTTTACATACTATAAATGAGCACCAAAAGGCAAGAGTTACCGTAAATACAGATAGCATCATGAAACCCAGGCTTTCAAAGATTCTAACCGCCAACCTCAAAGGGCAGGACCGGTGGCTCTGCGTCTTCCCTCCAGCCCTCGGTCTGTTCCGTGTGGGAGCACCATCTGATCTCCCTCTTTCCCAGCCCACTTTCAAAAGTCCCCCTGCCAACGTCTAACCACCCGCGCCACCCTCCCTCGCCCCAGCCTCCATTTTACTCTGATGGGCAGGACTGTGGAGGTGACAGAACAAATGACCTTGGCCTTCCTGGGTTGGGGGCTGAGCTTGAGGGGGACCCACAGGATGGCAGCCTTATTCAGAACTGGCTTACAGGAGAGCAGAAGCTCCGCCTTTTAATCCCCCAGCATCCTCATAACCCACTTCCCCACAGCACCCAGGAAGGTGTGCCTCGGCCAGCCAGGGCCTCAGTCATTAATTCACTCACACAGTACACATTGAGCAAATAGGACCCAGCGCCTGGCTCCATCCAAGGACTGGGGAAGATGCAAATAGTGAGATGTGGCTCCTCCCTTGAAAGAGCTCAGAGTCTTTCACACTCATGAGCAAAGTGCTGGAAGCAGTTTAGTGACCTCACCTGGTGTTCCATATCTTGCTGGGGATCACTATTAGTTACCATCAGGGGTGGTCCTTCACTTCCTGCCAGGGGGGTTCACATTTCCAGGAAGAAAGCCCAGGGGAAGGAAATAAACTATCTTCACACCAGAATCAGAAACGAACGGGGCCACTGTCATCTATTCTAATCCCCTCTTCCTGCCAAGGGGAGGTGACCAGCTCAAGGTCACGCCATGCATTAGTGACAGAGCTGAATGAATCATCTACACCGGGGCAACCGAAGTGGTCTCTAGGTAATTTTTTTCGGGGTTGGTCTTGGCTCTCCCGAGCTGTGCAAAAAAGCCCTCATCACTAGCAGCGATCATTTGAAAGACGATATGCCAAGCTCAGGAGCCCTCTCTCCACCTCCGTTCCAGGGACCACCAGCAACTCGGGGTACTGCCAGCCAGAAGCACTGTGATGGGCCCTGGGCACAGTTACAGGTCAAAGTTATAGCTGCCATGTTTCAAGACCTCTAGCCACTTTGGAGTAGAGGCAGGAAGGTGCAGGTGGGGAAGGAGAGAAAAGGAGAAGCTCGTGCGCCTCCGAGGTGATGAGGAATCAGCCAACACTGGTTCCCAAACTTGGGTCTGCAGCCATCAAGTCCATGCAGCCAATCTCCCTAGATCTTCAGGCTATCAATTCCCTTACACAATAGCCCTGTCCAGGCCTTAGGGCTTCTACGTGGGGTCCTGAAGGGAAGACAAGATGAGCTCTGAGGGGCAGCCGGTCCCTGTTCCTGGCAGCAGATAGGGAGGTCAGTCTGCCAGACAGGAATTTCCTCTTCCGCACTGGTGAGTGAGATGGCTCACTATGGCTTCTTCTCCGTCCCTGCCCCTTCCTGACCCTCTTAGTACCCAGAAGACGGCTCGTAGCACAGACTTATTCCAGCCCCTACTACCACTGTAGTGGGCCGAGCAGTGGCCATCTCTTCCTTGTTCACTCTAGAGGAGCATTTCGTGGTGGCCCTGTATGACTACACGGCAGGGAACGACCGGGACCTGCAGATGCTGAAGGGGGAGAAGCTGCAGATCCTGAAGGAGTAAGTTTCTGGAATGACATCCGTGGTCAGAGGTCTCTACGGCTCCCTGTCACAGCAGGACTCCCACCCATCCGTCCATCTACCTCGGCCCACCCCCACCATGCCCTCCATAGCTCCCTCCAGAATATCTTCTCCCTTGCCCTGCCCCCCAGCCTAGTCACCCAGCATTTTCTTAAACTTGACCCAATCATCTTCCTTCACCTATCTTCCCAAACTCTTTCTGGTGAGGTGGTTCCCATTCACTACCTCCTGCTCCACTGTCAGAATCCTACCATTTCTTCAAAACCCACCTCTAATGTCCTCTCCTCCGTGTAGCCCTCCTGACACTCACATCACTTGACCAACCGCTCCATCACAGCTTGTATTGGAGTCACTTGTGTCCTTGTTTGTCTCCCTTGCCAGATAAGATCTTGCATGGGATTCTACTCATGAAATCAGCTTTTGTTTATTTCCAGTGTTCCTTCTCAGAAACTCCTCCAAAGTCTGCTCTCTCTCAAACCTCTGGCTTGTCCTGTGGAGCCCCAAGGGCCTGCTTTTGTTCTGGAAGTTTTGCAATGGGCTTGAGGCAAAAGTATGAAAGCCCTGACCTGTTGACCGTGGGTGGGCTTCCCGGTTCCTCTTTCGTCAACAGCCCTCCTCCTGTTTTTGTCTTTCCTGTCCGGTCCCAACTCACACATTGAATTCTAAATGAGTCCCATTAATCAAGAGGAAAGCTACTCACTAGAAGACAGGGCCCTCGTGGGTTGATCAGGCCGTCTGGACAAACTCTTCCCCCGGAGGCTGTGTCATCTCCCTCCCTCCCCTGGACCAGGAGCACCCTGGGCCTGTCAGATGCTCGGTGACTGAGAAATAACCCAGAGAGCCCCCGCATCACTGAGCACCTTGCACAAGCTCCCTCTCATCTGCCAGACTGTCTGCCTCCATGAACCCTCTGCCTCCCACAGATGAGATCATGTGGCAGAGGGTTGTGAGCCGCCCAGAGAGAGGCCCATAAAGGCCACTATCCCATCTTTATTTTTCCCTTCTCCATCTTAGAGCTGGAGACTGGTGGCTGGCCAAGTCTCTCGTCACAGGAAGAGAAGGCTACGTGCCCAGCAACTTCGTGGCCCGAGTAGAGACTGTGGAAGTGGAAAAGTAGGTAGACGAACGGAAGGGCCCTCAGAACAGAGGCGAGCTCGCTGCTTCTGCTGGGTGGGCTGCTGTGCAGGGCGGAGCCAGAAAGTGGGTAAAAAGGGTGCCCGTGTGAGGCCAGCACGGAGGGAGCAGAGAAGGGGCAGGGAATTGCAACTGCTGGGAAAGGCTTATCCACCGTCCCAGACAACTGAGGAGGTCGCTGCTCCGTGCTCACCTCACTCTTCCCATCTGTGAACTGAGAGCCATCCCTTTCATGGCTTACCTGGATAGAAACACCCCCAAACCCCATATGACCTTGCGAGCTAACAGTGAGGCCCTATGATCAGCTTCCCCTCCTCTAGTGCCCCCAGTGGGCAGGACCCAGGGGCTTGGACCTCGGACCTCGCGGGCACTCACAAGACGGTGGTCTCCTTCAGAAGTGGCTTACAGGAGAGCAGCACCCCGGCATCCTCATAACCCACTTCCACACAGCACCAGGAAGGTCTGCCTTGGCCAGGCAGGGCTTCAGTCTTTAACACACTCACACAGTGTGCATTGAGCACAAGGTACCCAGAGCCGGGCTCTGCCAAGGACTGGGGAAGATGTAAACTGAGTAAGACGTGGCTCTTCCCCTGAAAGAGCTCAGAGTCTGTCAAACCCATGAGCAAAGTGCTGGAACCAGGTTAGTGACCTCACCTGGTGTCCTTCATCCAGCGATGATCGCCCTTGGGAGGGTTCCTTGTCTGGCGCTCCCAGCTCTGTGCCTTTCCCTGGAACAGCATGTGGACCATGGGGCACTTCCACACTGACCAGCCAGGATCAAGGGGAACATGGTGGGAATCTGCCCTCTGAGCGTCTCAGCAATTGGTCTAATTCGGAAACCTGACCCCCAGGAGGCTGTACTTTAAGGGAAGGTGGTTGGGTGCATTTTCCCAGAGCAAAATTAACAAAGGGCACCCAAATAATATTCTTGTTTCATTCCAAGAAAACAGTAAGTCCATCCGCTGGTGGGAAGTGGGAATAAGGAAGCATAGGGGCTGAGGGGCGTTTCATTCTTTGGGAAGTAAGGGCCGTTTGCTCAGGGTTGAGTTGGGCACTGGAAAGAGATATTTTATTTCTTGGAAGGAGGTATAGCTCAGGAGGGAGGTTTGGGTAAGAATAATCCGAAGAGCCCGGCCACTCTCTGAAGTCTGCCTGCCTTTGCCCTTTTCCAGGTGGTTCTTTAGATCAATTAGCCGGAAAGATGCCGAGAGGCAGCTGCTGGCCCCAGTCAATAAGGTGGGCTCCTTTCTGATTAGAGAGAGCGAAACCAGCAAAGGTAAGCATGGGCGGCCTGACCTCCCTCCCTCCTGAGGCCTCGCTTCTGGGGGTGGAGTGGGAGGGGAACGCCATCGAGGAGAACCTGGCAGCTTCCTGGCCCAGGCCTCCCTCCCAGTTAAGGCTGGACCTGGACGGCCCGGCTAGTGCCCAGACGTTGGGGTTGAGGCTGTAGGTGCAAACAGTTGTCCCAAGGCCCAGGCTGGAAATGTGCCCAGAGCACAGGTAGGAGAGGCCGTTGGAGAGCTGTTGCTGTCCAGGGCTGGCCACGCATCCTCTCTAGGATAGCAGGAGCCCTGAGGCTGGCAGGGTCAGAAGAGGGGGTGTGACCAGAGCCACATTTTAGAATCAAAGGATTTGGGAGCTGAAAGAATCCTTAGAGATAATCTCAGCCAGAGCCTGTGAGCTCGGACCCTTACAGGAGCCTGGAAGCTAACAGAAGTCTGGGGGATGGCCTGTGGCTGGATATAAAAGAAGCGGTGCCAGCTATGGAGAAGTAGGGGCCTCACAGATTCAAACCCACCGACTGAGCAAAACATTTCTGCTGCCACCCCCAGGCCACTGGGGTTTCTGTTTCTCTTTTATTTAGTTTTCTCTTCTTTCCTTCTTAAACTTCTTTGTGTTATAAAATCTAAAACACATATAAAATTGCATAAATTATAAATGTGCATAATTATAAATATAGAGTAATAATAAGTAAACACCTGTGCAATCACAAGAGAGAGCATTCCAGATGTCCAGAGCCCTTCCCACTCCTCCACCTGTGCCCCACTCTGATTCAATCTCCCCACCCCCCAGAGAGGTCACCGCCATCCTGACTTTGGGGAAATCCTTTCTTGTTTTTCTTTATAGTTTTACCGGCACGTTTTGTCTGTTTCTCAGCTTTATACAAATGGAATCATACTATTGTTATTTTTCGTGGGTCTTGTTCCTTTCACTCAACATTGTTGGTGAGATTCTGCATTGGTTTGCTAGGCCTGCTGTAACAAAATGCCACAGACCAGGGGGCCTTAAAGAACAGAAATGGATTTTCTCACATTTTCGGTGTTAGAAGTCTGACATCAAGGTGTCGGCAGGGTTGGTTTCTCCAGAGTCCTCTCTCCTTGGCTTGTAGACGGCCGTCTTCCTCCTGTGTCCTCACATGGTCTTCCCTCTGTGTGTCTGTGTCCTCATCTCTTTTTCTTATAAGGACACAGTCAGGTTGGACTGGGACCCACCCCCACGACCTCACTTTAACGTAATCACCTCTTTAAAGCCCCTATCTCCAAATATAGTCACATTCTGATGTACTGAGGGTTAGGACTTCAACACAGGAATTTGGAGGGGAGGGGAACACAAGTCAGCCCATAACAGATTCGCTCATGTTGTCGAGTACGGCAACAGTCTGTTCAGTTTCATTGCTATCCAGAACCCAGGATATGAACATACTGAAGCTATCAATAAGCTATTTCTCCATTCTAATCTTGGTGGACATGGGAATGTTTGAACTGCTACAAACCCTATTATATACATGTCCTGGTACACATTTGCCACTAGTCTTCCATCTTTGACATACTGGGCCAATACCCCCATTTGAAAGATGAGGAAACTGAGCCCCTGAGGGAAGAAGTGAGTCATATGAGGCCAACAGTGAACAAATGTCAGAGCCCATATCAGCTAAGAGGCTCCAAATATCTTCATAAGCCCTAAAGTGTGTCAGGCTGGCCTAACCTGGGGTGATGGAGGGGAATTTCCCAAGCAGTGTGGAGAAAGCCCTTGCTTATCAGGACACTGTACATAGGGACCTGTTATATCCTTGTGGCCAATTTTTAACTAGAGAGGAGGTAGTGACAGTGACATCAGAGGAGGAGAAGGAGAGAGGGCGACTGGACTGTGACTTTGGTTCCCTGTGGTTGAGACAATGAGAATGGACGGGTTTTGCCTGTAAGATCACCGCTCTGGGCTTGTCCCTCAGCTCCATTCACGGCTGGAGGACTGCAGAGAGCAGAAACAGCAGAGCAGCAGAAGCAGGACAGAGAGCTGCTTATAACACACTGTGGGGCTCAGGGGAGACCCTTGGCCTCACGGCCCCTCAGAGGGGCAAGGCCAGGCTGGGGAGGCGGAGGGGTGCATAGGTAAGTTGGGGGGCTCTGTGCAGAATTTCCTGAAATGCACCAATGGATGCATTAAATTATATATATATACACACATATTGGGATATTGCCATTATTCCATTTTAACAGCAGATTACCTATGTCCAAGACACAATGTGGGAATCACTGATGACAACAGTTTTCTTGTTGTTGTACTTCTGAAGTACAGAGAATCATATAACGGAACGTCTCATACCCAACACCCAGCTTCAACAATGATCAACTCAGCCAATCTTGTTTCATGTATATCCCGGCCCACTCCTATTATTTCGAAGCAAATCCCAGATATCAGGTCATTTCACCCCAGAAATGATGTTTTAATCATCACCTATTGCTAAGGTGCCCTCTGGATGGAAAGGGACCCCGACCTCAGTGGGGAGGAGGTAGGGGTTCTCTAGGGGTGGAGGTGTCTCCTCCTGTCCTTGCCCACCCTGGGAAGCTAGTCCGAGCTGGGAATTGGCCAGATGGAGGTGGGGCTGCAGGACTGTCATCATCATCACCCCCTCACATATATGTATACACAGTATCCACACCTGCACACGTGATCCTCTGAACTCAAAAGAAAGACCCCTTGGTCTGCAGCTGGAAGCCACGGCCAGTGGACACAAGGCAGGCAAGGAAAGGTGCCCTCCGAAGCAGGCGGAGCGAGCTCTAGCCCCATGTGGCCTCCAGAACATTCTTGAATGTCTAAGCCTCAGTTTGTTGGCATCTATGTGACAGCTGACTAATTTCACAGTTGAAGGCAGGTGGTCCCTCCGGTGTTAAGAAATCTCCATCTCTGGGAGCCCAGCCCTGTGTGCGCAGTAGGGCAGCGGATCCAGGTTTTGTGAACCTGAAGCAGATAAGATTTGGAGGTCCCCTTTAAGAAGAATACCAAATTGTAAGAAGATATCAAGGATAGGCTGTTAGTTGAGCCCCGGCAAGCGAGGGACCCTAAATCTTGAGATTCCGCAGCAGCGCTGCGTGGAGAGCAGGGTCTCCCTGGCTTATTGCAAGGCACCCTATGCAGGGTACAGCCAAGGAAATAGGGAGAAAAGCCCTTCTCCTCACTACAGTGGTGTGAGGATGAATGAACTCCCTAGAGCCACTCTCCGGTTCCTTAGATACTGGAGCACAGGGGCACCTACTCGGGGCGAGGCGGGGGAGGCTGCAGCTGGGGCTGTGGCTGCGGAAGGCGCGCCAGCTGGGTGCACGGCCTCTCAGGATCCTTTTGCAATTGGGTCATGAGAGAGGCACAGTGGCTAAGGGAGATAGGAGGAGAGAAGAGGGGTAAGATGGGGTGATGGTCTGACAGGAGAGGAAAGAGGCCTGAAGACAAACAGCACGAGGAAAATCAAGCTTCCACATCCAGAAAAAGAGGTGCGAGCCTGACACCTGGTGGGGGAGGATGGTTCTGCTCCCGGTAGGCACAGCCTCAGGGAGGACCCCGGAGCCCCCAAGCCTGCGGCTGTATTAGCGGGCTGACCTAGGGCAAGCGACATCTCCATTCTGGGCCTCAGCTTCCTCATCTTTCAAAAACGAGTGGGGGCATGGTACCCAGAGAGCTGGACAGAGGCGTTTTATAAAAACATCAAGTTTATAGAAAGAAGTTTCTCAGCTGGAAACTCTTGTCTGCTAAATAGCTCTTAACCCTTAGCATCTGCTACCGCTTGTCTGCAGATATTAACATAGATGACAAAATACATATATGTGTGCATGAATTTGAACAGAACCCCTGGGAAATGGCTTATGATGTTCTCCTCCAGGGACAGGAGTGCTTGAGGTTGCAATTAGCTATTGCCTGTGGGTAGGTCCAGCCTTTCAGCCAGAATGATGAATGGAGTGACCAGGTTCCGAGTGGGGGGACAGTGAGACTGCTAAGAGGACGTCCAGCTGCTCCAGAGTTCTGGGATTCCCTGGCTGAGTTTCGGTAGATCTGGGGAAGAACATCAAGGACCAAGTCAGAAGGAGCTGATAGAGAAGGCTTCCAGGAGGCTTGAGGTTGAGATGAAGGAAAAGGTAACTTACGATGGAAGTGGTCAAAATAGCAGAATTTGGGGAACTTTTTTGCAAGGCATTGAAATGAAGCCCAAATCCACTCCTGATTTTCCCTCTGTTTGCCTCACTTCTCCTGCCTGTGTCTCTATGAACCTCTAGGTACCCTCTCCCTGTCTGTGAAGGATGTGACCGCCCAAGGGGAGGTGATCAAACACTATAAGATCCGTTCCCTGGACGAAGGAGGCTACTATATCACCCCCCGCATCACCTTCCCCACTCTCCAGGCGCTGGTGCAGCACTATTCTAGTAAGAGGGGTGTCCAATGGGGGGTGGGCTCTTGGGCCAGAGGAACCCTTGTATCTCTCTATTGCTGAGATCTCAAGATTGTGTGAATCGTTGCTGCCATCTTGCAGGGCGAAGTGGGGGAATTATCCAAAGGCTAGACCTAAGGAGTTGACAATTGTCAACATAACGATTCAAAGTCTGTGTCCCTGATCCTCTCCACTGGCTCGGCATGCGACCACTTGGAGAGGAACAAGTATTTTCAGTCTTAGAGAAAGCAGATTAATGATAGCATGCCTTGCTTTATGCAAAACAAATGCAAAGAGCTGAGTGTGTGTGTGTAGTGTATGTGTGCACTCGCACATATGCATTTGGGGCTGGGAGTGAGCCTGGCAAGAAGGGGAGGGGGCCACAGCGGGGCATTATTGCAGCTCCCAAGGGAGAGAGGCGAGTCTAGCTGCTCTGGTAACCTCCAGCCCCATCTCTTCTTCCCTAATGCAGAGAAAGGGGATGGTTTATGCCAGAGGCTGACCCAACCCTCTGTGAGCCTGGCTCCTCAGAACCCCTGGGCCCAGGATGAATGGGAAATCCCCCGGCAGTCTCTCAAGTTGGTCAGGAAACTCGGGTCTGGACAGTTTGGCGAAGTCTGGATGGGTGAGTATGAGGCATGCTGGGAGCCCCTCTCTCCCTGCCCTGCGTCCTGGAGCACAGAAGCTCAGGATCTGCACAGTGCCTCATGCTTCCCCATATAGGCTAGTGAGGGAGAAGGGACAGAGGCTATTCACTCATTTTACAGATGAGGTAGTGGAGACACAGAACATTGAAGTGACTTGCCCTCTGTTGTTATGACATCATGGTGGTGGAAAGGAATAGAATCCAGCTCTCCCCACCCTTATTCGGTTCTCTCCTTCGTTCTTGCCCAGTGCTGGCTTTGCCACTGACTCAGGTGTGATCTTGAACATCTTGCTAATTTTCCTTAGCTTTGGCTCACCAGATGGAAACAGTATGGTGAGTGATGAACCAGGAGCTCCAGGAGCCTGATGACAGACCAAGGCCACTGCTTGCAGCTGTGTGACTCTGCCTAAGTCACTTAACTTCCCTGTCCTTCCCTTTCAATTGCAGTTGGTGACCACTCCCCTGCTTACCAGGCACTATCAGAATAGAAGATGGTGCTTCATTTTATCCCTGGAATGATCCATGTCTCTGCGGCATGATTTCAAGGTGGCATCCTGCTGCCTCCCGAATCCCCCGGGGCCCAGGGCTGATACCTGAGGTCCCTGCTCAGCTCCCCTGAGAAGGACGAGTCTGAGTTATTGTTCGTTTTTACCCTTCAGTGTGAATGGGGGGCCTAATGGAGCCAGGGGAGAGTGTGGAGGCACAGGTGCTTAAGGACTGGGAAGAGAACATCACAGGGCGTAGAAAGGAGGGTAAGAGGCCCCCGAGCACCTCTACCTCTTCTACCATTTTGCCACAGGCTGTGATGCTCATTTCCATACTGAAGCTGCCATGGGGTAGAAGAGACTCATGTAGGGAGAGGAGGCAGGCTATATGAAGGACAAAGGGATGCAACCCAGCCCCCGAATGTGGGGGCAGGGAGGTGAAATGGACCCTTCCCAGCTGCCTGAGGCTCTGGGCTAGCGGGTAGGCTGAGACAGGCTGGCATCCTGCAAGATAAGCAGGCATGTCCACCCCCCTCAGGAGCTGTCCATTGCAGCCCAGGGCCATTTCCTAGGCCCACCTACAGAATAGAGATTCTGGGATCCTAGAGGCTCCTGGAAGCTTATGTAGATTCTGGTTAAGAGATCACCTCCCACAGCCTCTGGGTCTTCCGAATGGCTTCTTCATTTTCTCCCCCTCACCCTGGGCTCAGGTTATTACAAAAACAACGTGAAAGTGGCCATCAAGACCTTGAAGGAGGGAACCATGTCTCCGGAGGCCTTCCTGGGCGAGGCCAACCTGATGAAAACTCTGCAGCATGAGAGGCTGGTCCGTCTCTACGCCGTGGTCACCAAGGAGCCCATCTACATTGTGACGGAGTACATGGCCAGAGGTGGTACCCTGCGCGGGGCTGGTCCCTCAGACAGAAGGGGACGGGGGGGGGGGGGGGTCCAGGTTTAGGAGGCTGAGGAAGCTCATCTGCTGCAGTGGGTTTGCCTGGCAGGGGGTCACTGAGCCGTGGGCTGGAGCCGTTAGCCGACATCCTGCAGATCTAGGGTGTTCCATGTGCACAGGGGGCAGGAGGGAAGGATGGTGAGAAACAAGACAGGTAGATGGTTCTTGTAGGGCTGTGTCTTCAGTTCAGGAGCATTGCAACCAACATTTTTGGAGTGCATCTTCTGTGTCCAGCACAGTTTGAGGGCCCCTGGGGAGGACAGAGCATTGCAAAGTCGAAAGAGCAGTAGGCTGGGCACCCAGAGATGGGGTCCAGTCCCAGTTCTCCCACTTACAAGCCACAAGACCTTTCACAGCCGTCTGAATATTTACAACATGGAGGAAAAGAGATGTTGGGCAAGGTAGCCTCTGAGGTCCATGGTGTGGTCTGGGGTCGGGCCTCAGCCTTTGACCCCCTCACTCTTCCTGTGACCCTGCTTCCTGCAGGATCCTAATGTGCCATACTAATTTAGTTCCTTAAAAGTCGCCATGAAGAGGGCCCCACCTTGAAGGGGGGCACAACGGCTCCCCTGCTCACCTCTTAGCCACACCTTATGTGAGTGTCCCTCCCAGCTCTTAGATGCCACGGAGGAGCTGCATTTGTCCCCTGCATCAAACCCTAGGGGATGAGTCCCTCCATTCTGGTACTTTCTTGCACCCTTGGTCCCCCGAGGCAGAACAACAGAGGGTGAAGGGGCAAGAGGACACTCTGGAACGTCGTGCTGGAACAGCACTCAACTTAGCATCAGAGGAGCAGATCTGCTCCCCGCTCCCTGGCTGTGCGACCTCGGACCCTGGCTGAAACTTTACTTCCTCTGAACAGCTGGGAGCAGATTAGCTGCCTCCTGGGGTGCCGTGAGGACTGAGAAGGGGATATCTGTAAAGCAGCAGGCTCTGCAGTTGGGGGCAGGGTTCTTCTCTGTGCACCAGAGAGCGCCACCTCCTCCCTGCCCCTAGGTGGGGAGCAGCCACACTTGGGAGAAGCTTGCCAGGCCAGGGTCCGGTCACTTTGCAGAAGTGCAGTTGCAACTTCTCTTTCCTTAGGATGCTTGCTGGATTTCTTGAAGACAGACGAAGGTAGCAAATTGTCCCTCCCACGACTGATCGACATGTCGGCCCAGGTTTGTGAGCTGCCAAGTGCACGGGGCTCGAGAGTTTCCATGCCATCCTGCAGGCCCCGGCCCCCAGGCCCTCTCGTCCATGCCCTGCGGCTTACCAGAATCAACTATTTAGCAGTGGTATCCGTTAGATTTAGGCTGGGCTGTGAAGAACAGAAAACCCAAAGTAATAATGGCCTCACTGTGCAAACATCCAGAGGTGGGCAGTCTGGGGCCTGTAGGTGGGTCTGCCGCTCAGAGTCACAGGGACCCAGGTTTCTGCCATTTGCAGGGTCTCTTAGCATGTCATCTTATTGACCAAGATGGCTCCTCACACTTTACCACCGTGTCCTCTTCTCAGCCAGCAGGAAGAAGTAAGGCGGGACGAAAGCCCACCTTCCCCTCTTTAGAGACCTGTCCCTGAAATCATCCACCACACTTGCTCTTACATCCCCACACCCTCAGCCATCATGTCACCTGACCACACCTAGCTGCAGGGGATCTTGGGAAATGTAGTCTTTCTTCTGAGCAGCCATGATGGCACTAGGTAGGTTCTATTACAGACTAAGAAGGAGACAGGATGGGGCAGGAAAACCAGAGGGTTCGCACGAATTCCATTTAACACGTAGGCAAGTGCTCTGTGGCAACCTCATCTCTTCCTCAGATGGTGCCCACAAATGCCTTCTGGAGCAGGTGACTCATGAGACATCGTGAGGCGAAGAGCAAAATGGAGAGGAGGGAGCTTTCCTCCCCAGGGATTTGAGCTGAGGGCTCTAACTGGCAGGAAAACATGTCTGGTGGCCCCAAGAACACATATCTGTTAAAATTGGAACTCTCAGCAGAAAAGCTCTGGTTTGTGGTCAGCCTGTGAGACACAGGAACACACACACATCCGGCCGCAGAGAGGAAGCCTCCCCACGCCCCGCACACCCCCTGCCCGCCTCGGCCAGCGTATCTGCTCTTAGTATCAGTGCAGGAACTCTGTCCTGACGACTTTTTTCCACTGAGGTGAGCACAGACCAGGCTGGTGAGGTGGTCTCGGAAAATTAACGCTGTGACCGGTTTCAAACCACCTGACAGTGATGAGCCTGCCCACTGCTTTTCTTCCTTGCTTTCTTTTCCCTCTCTCCCTCTTCTCTGTCTCTTATTCAATCTCTTGAGAAATCTTGGGTCACCCAGGAGCAAAGGATGTGAAAAATCACCTGAGTTTATATCTAGGTATTACGGTCGAGAATCTGAGGATTAGGAAACGGGAAAATCAGAACCTCCCAGGTGAACAGCTCTAAAGCACATGCTGATCAAGCTAACAACTCGCTGCATGCACACTCACACACCCACACACGACGCACACACTCTCAGCGTCCTTCTGGGAGCCCCTCGTCCTGCTCTCAGGATGAAATGCAAAGCTCCGCTCCAACCACAGCCCCATGTGCCCTACTCTGCAGCCACACTGCAGCTCTCCAATGTCCTGCACACCTAGGAGCCTTTGCCTGGCTGTCCCGTCTGCCTTGGACTCTCTTCTCACCTGGGAGAGTCCTAATCAACGTCCCTGACCCCAGACAAGCGTCATTTCTATTAAATTTTCCCTAGACAGGAAAGTGCTTGAGAGCACTTGGCCCGTGTGTCCTCATTAGCATTGTGTGCCATAGGTTCTTCCTGAAAGCAGATCTGGGTCCTACTCAACATTTTTTTTTCCCTGTATTTCTAGTACTGCTTGCTACATATTTGTTAACAGGATGAGTACGGCTAAATGCTGTGCAGATATAAGATATTTGGTATTCGGCTTTATAGTCCCCACAGTACCAGACCAATAAATGTATATTGATGGAATGACTTAGCGAATGAGTAAATAAAATGAGTGAACGAGTGAATGGATTCATGAATTAACCAAAGGATGGAAACATAAGGAGACGTAGTATCAGTTCCGGTCCTGGCTTCTTGCCGTAACAGGTCTGAGGAGGTAAACTGGCTTTCTATTCTCTGCCTCAGTTTCTTCATCCATTAACTGGGAGTGCAGCGAAGAAAGCCTGGGTTATTTTCCTCTGCTAAAAGGCATGAGAACAGCACAAACAGCTATTCCTGGCCCAGAGCTGATGACTGGGGACAGAAATGAGGTCTCCTCTTCTTTTACCACCTCTGTTCCATGGGGATTCTGTGCACACTCCCTGAGCACCCGCCATGCGGCCGTGCTGGCTTAGGCCCTTGGCCACATGTCTCATCTAAGGCTCCCCTCAACTCCGTGCCCTGGGGACCCCTTCCCTCATGCTCCTGGTCAGGACAGTGACCCCTCAGGGAGCTTGAACAACATGCCAGGGGCCAGCGCTGTCAATCCAGGGCTTCCTGCTCCAGGAGCAATGCTTCCAACTTGCCAAGGATGTGAAAGCCTTTCCTCCCCTCTTGAGAGACTTGCTTTTCTCCTGCCTTCCTTCTGCTGTCTTCCTCCCCTGGGACACTCGGAGGAGAGGAGGGGTGGGTGAGGGGAACGGGTGGCCCCGGCTCTCATGACAGTGTCTCTGCCTTTCTGGGCTCTTAGAGTACTCTATGGGGTTTAGAGCTTATTCAGGTGAGGAGCAGCTGAAGCATCCCTCCGCTCCACCCGAGAATCTGCTCCTTCCCCGGCAGCACCGCCCCACCCCCATGCACCTACCAAAAGAAACACAAAGCAACCCCCCGAGAGCGTTCCCTCCAGGCTGGGAGAGGGTCCACAGCAGGCTGGCAGTCAGGGCAGGCAGGGCTCTCCTCTCCTGCATAGGGGCTGTGCAGGGCATGCTGGGCGGGCTCAAACCTTGCATGGAGGTCCCCGTGCTGTCCTTCACTGTGTGGTCTGTCCCTTCAGATTGCCGAAGGAATGGCGTATATCGAGCAAATGAATTCCATCCACCGCGACCTGAGGGCGGCCAACATCCTGGTTTCTGAGACCTTGTGCTGCAAAATCGCTGACTTCGGCTTGGCCCGGATCATCGACAATGAATACACTGCCCAGGAGGGTGAGCAGAGCCCCCAACCACAAGGGAGACCATGGGCCTTACCTTCCCCTACTCCCCAACCCCCTCGGACTTCCCCTTGTCACTACCTAGCAGAGCCATGCGTGAAGAGATGGGGAGCTGTGTGATTTCCGCAATTCCGGCCTCACCCTCTGCTCTATCAGCATTTGCCTAAATGTGCTCTGCAGAGCACTGGTGCCTCATGAGGAATGGCTTTGTGATGAAGTAGGTTTAGAGATACTGCATAGTCCATCCAGGCCCCCTTGGAGATTCCCAATGCACACCAGCACGTTAAAGGCACTGAGAAGTCCTGCAGCAAAGAAACAGTGTACAATTGACTTCACCTGGCGTCTCCCAAACTAATTTGACCCCAAATACTTTTCCCACTTAGCTTCTATTAACCTCCCAAGCTGGAGTTGCACAGAACAAACTTTGGAAAATACTGTTCTAAAGCGTGAGCAGCAAAACGTTATACCTGAATTAGGGTTTCCATAGCGCTTCTGCTCTGCTTTACTTTGTTAGTATAACCGAGGTGGAAACCCTCTTCACAAGAGGACTGGAAGTGCACAGGTGCATTATCAAGCAAGCTGGCAAGCAGTGTTAGCTGAGCCCACTAGTCCATTGATACAACCGAAGGATCAGTGCAGCCGGTTCCCTGAGGGAACTCCAGGCTGGCTGGGGAGACTGAGAAAGTCAGGCAAGGCAGGTCAGCCAGGGCTGAGCTTTACTCCCTCCGTCTGCCGAGCAGGGCTGCAGCCACCCTCAGGGCTTTGGGGGCAGCAGGGTCTGACTCCTTCCTCACTGTGACCCTAGGAGGTACAGAAGTCATGCATCATCATTTCCTTCTTGCAGGAAGGGTTTAAGTGAGGCAGGGACAAGCGAGAGTGACTGCCCAGGCCATGGGTTCCTGTTAGTAACCGAGGCCCCTGGGAGGTGGAAAGGACTCTCCCCCAGATGGAAGCACATGCTGGTTGCCCAGGGAGCCCACTGGGCAAAGCCCCAGAAAGGGTGACGGGCGTGGTATTTGTGTCCATACTGTCCTTTCTTTCGTGCTGCGGACCCCCAGAGTCTGCACATGCCTGGTCTGGTGTCCTAGTGGGTCTTAGTGACTCCCTGGACACATCTCGCCAAGTCCTGCCAAGTAGGGAAAGGGGGCAGGGAGCTGGAAGCAGGGAGTGGGGGGTGTAGGGGCAGTCAGTCATGGCCTCACAAAGCTGCTCTGGACTTGTCTCACAGGGGCCAAGTTCCCCATCAAGTGGACTGCCCCCGAGGCCATCCATTTTGGAGTGTTCACTATCAAAGCAGATGTGTGGTCATTTGGAATCCTGCTGATGGAAATCGTCACTTATGGGCGTGTCCCCTACCCAGGTAGGTGGCTTCGTCCTGCAGTGGCTCTCAGGCTCCCTGCTGTCCTGAGATGGCTGTGGTGGCAGATATCCCATCCTCGGTGCCTGCGCTGCCTGCATAGTGGCAGAATGGAGCCCCCACGGTGGGGACAGAGAGCAGGCATGCCACTCTGGGGGCAGGGGGGTTCTACCTCCCCTCTCAACATTGCTCTTGGCAACAGGCTGTGTCCCCTTTATCCAGCAGAGATCAGTGAGCCCCCAAACCTCGAATTAAGAAAAGGTCCGGGTCTGAACTCAAGTTTACTCCCAACTGGTTTGTTCTCAGCTGAGGCCAGGCTGTCCCTCCCTTGGCCTTACACCTCGGGAGAGCCCGATCTGATGGTAATCTCCCCCCCGCCCCCCACACCGTGTCAGAAGGGGCTTGGGCAGTTTAGCGGTCTCTCTCCGCGGGCTGGTGCCTTTTCACGGAGCACCTGCCCAGTCAGGGATGCACGCCCCGCAGCCACAGGTAAGCGAGATCGAGTCCCAGCCACGGAGGGACGGCCCCGCCCTAAGGCGAAAATCTGCAGCCTCGTTCACAGCCGATCACTGAGCAATGAAAAGCAAATCGCGGGGTGTTTAAAGGTGGCCCGGGCGGGCAGGGCGTCCGCCAGAGAGGAGATAGTGTTCTGTGCCTCCGGGATCTGCGCCCCTCAGCCGCGCCCTGCGTCCCTCCCCCCTTCCCCAGGAATGAGCAACCCCGAGGTCGTGCGCAGCCTGGAGCGCGGCTACCGCATGCCGCGGCCCGACTCGTGCCCGCCGGAGCTGTACCGCGGCGTCATCGCCGAGTGCTGGCGCAGTCGGCCCGAGGAGCGGCCCACCTTCGACTTCCTGCAGTCGGTGCTGGGGGACTTCTACACGGCCACCGAGCGGCAGTACGAGCCGCAGCCCTAGGGCCCCTCGGGGACGCGCTCCGTCGCCCGGGGCTCAGCCGGCCAAGCCTCGCGGCCGGGGACGGCTCACTCCTGTGGCCCGACCTTAGAACCCACGAGGGATGTCCACCTCGCGGGTGTTGTTCCAGGCAGGGAGGGACAGGGACGCCCATTTCTCAGATGAGAAAACTAGAGATAGAGGCAGCCTGGCCGGTTGGTCACAGCACGGACCCCAGAGCGGATTCAATCGCAGTCCCACTCTTCTCTGCTGTGTACCCTTGGGCAAGTTACTTCGCCTCTCTGTGCCTCCGCTTCCTCATCTGTACGACAGGGAGGAGCCATCACAGTACTTACCTCGGATGTTTTTCATGAAGATTACATTAGTTAACCCGCGTAAGATGTTCAGAGTGTTCCAAATAAGAGACACTCTTAAGTGTTTGTCATCATATAAGGCTTCCCTATGCTGGCGCCAAAAGCGAGAGGTCGGCCGCAGGGGCCCGGGGTCCCGCGGCTCCCACCTGCGCGGGCCGCGTCCCCCGAGGCGGGCCCGGGTCCCCCGAGACGGCCGCGCAGAGACGCTCTGGGCGGGGCCCAGACCTAGACTGCGCTCCAGCACTTTGGGACTCTTCCGTAATAAAGTCACGAGATCTGAGTTTTCCGCGTCGTTACTGGTGACAAGGCTGGACATCGCATCCCTGACGTACGCGGTTGCCTGAGTGGCGCCGCCAGGGACTCGGGGATGGCACCGGGTTTCCCGGGGAGACCAAGCCCCCAGCCCCGGGGCACTGCGCAGACCTTTCCGGGGAGGCTCCAGCAGGGCCAGCAGGTGGCGCCCTGCCCTCAGACATCCTCGGCCTCGGGTCCGAGCCTGGGGGTCCTTCGCTCACCGGGCGCCTGAGCGGACCATGTTGGAGGGCCTGCTGGGCGCAGGTGCAGGAAGAGGGACAGCGTCCTGGGCGCCGTGTCCGGGGACCCGGCACACCAACAGTGAGCGGAGGACCACGGGATGGTAACACCAATTGTCATGTTTTTTGTTTTGTTTTGTTTATAATAGATTTTAAATTTTTGAGCAGTAAGGTTTACAGAAAAATAAGCGGAGGGTACAGAGAATCCCCGTTTACTCCTCACTCCTGTCCCCCCCCATTTCCCCTATTGTTAACATCTTGCAATAGTGCACATTTATTACAATTCATGAGCCACTGTGGACACATTATTGTTAACTGAAGCCCGTAGTTTACATTAGGATTCACCCTTTGTGTGGTACATTCTGTGGGTTTGGACAAATGTGTAATGACGTGTGTCCACCATTACAATGTCGTGCAGAACGGTGTCAGTGCCCGAAAAATCCCCTGTGCTCCACCTGGCCATCCTTCCTTCCCTCTCTCTCAACCTCTGGCCACCAACTTGCCATGTTTTGACTCTGATCTTGTGATGACCCAAGGAGGTAGGAATAGGACCACCCCAGGAACCGAGGAAGAAACCGGGGCACAGAGGGCTTCTGTGGTGTTCCCGAGGTCTCCCTGCTTCTAAGGATGGGGATGGAGGTGTGGGGCCAGCAGAGCTGCCGGACTGTGGCAGCACGGAAAGGGGTCTGGGCTGGGAGAACCTCATAGAGGAGCGGTCTCCGCAGGGGAACTGAGATGACTGACAGAGAGGGACGCAGGTCTGTAGGCACTTGCTGTTTCCAGAGCACATTCAGTACTTCGGGCTCTCAGACAGCCGTGGGAGGGAGGGAGGCGTCGCCATTATTTTCATGCCTACATTCTTTTCCACGAATGAGGAAACCTGCAGATTGCAGACCCCCAGGCTTCTCCAGAAGCTCTTAACTGGCCAGTTCTGGACCTGGGCTTTGAGCTGGCTCCTTAACCCCAGCCCCTTGCCATAAGTGCTGCATGGGGAGCAGAGCTCTCTCAGGAGCAGGGGGTGTCTGCACGGTGAGGCCAGGCGGGCTCGCCGGTGGAACCTGGGGGTGCGGGGGGTTGGGGGCATGTGGTCAAGTTGGGGCTTGAGCAGATCTCCTCCCCACCCTGTGGTCCAGGATGCAGGGGTGGAGGGCCCCCTGGGCAGGGAACCGGGTCCATCCGAGCAAGGAGCCTCCAGAGCGTTGCCTCTGACCTCCCCCAGGGACTCAGGGCTCTTTGGAGGAGCCGGCTGCTGAGTGTCTCAGGCAAAAAAACGCAGCTCAGCCGCCTCCCCCCCTGCCCCAGGGTCTTAGTGCCCCCACCCCATCCCCCCAGTCTCCTCCCATCTCCTGGTCAGACCAGGTGCTGGAAGAAAGACATCTCCGGGAATTGGAGCTGCCTGGCTCAGAATCTGGGGTGAGGGGCACTGCTGATGGGAACTAAGCTGGAAAACCCATGCCAGGAAAAGCAGGCAGAGACAAATCTGAGCCTGTGGGACCCATGGCTGAGAAGGGCCCTGAGACCACCTGAGGGTGCCTGTGGAGGTGGGGCTGGGGAGGGAGCTGCTGTCAGTAGGATGAGGAATGAGTGCCTCCTTCCGGCTCAGCCACCTGACTCCCGGCCTGGCCACCACCTCCCGCCTCCCACAACCCCTCTGAGGTGGTTTCCAGGACTTGGGCCCTGGCTGCCCATGAGCTGCAAGACCTGGGCTGGCTCATCACTTCCCTGGACCCCACTGCCTTCCCGTAAAGATAAAGGGCTCACCCAGTGCTTCACCAACCTCACTATTCATGAAAATCACCTCTGCTCCTGGTTTTAAAACACAGGTTTGTAGACCTCTCCCTCTGAGATTCTGATGCAACAGGTCTAAGGCAGGATCTGGAAACTTCATCTTTTGTCAGCATCCTAAGTGATACTCGTGGTTCTCAACCCCGGATGCACATTGGAATCACGGTGGGATGGAAGTGGAGAGATGACGGGGTGGGAGCACGTTTAAAAATACCTGCACCAGGATTTCAGGTGGGCCCTGGAATTCAGCACATTGTAAATGTCCCCAGCCAGGACTGGGAACTCCTCGCCAGGCTCTGTGGGGTTCAGAAGTACCCTTCCCAGGAAGGCTGGCCGCAAGTCACCTGGGGGCCAGTCTGATACACAGGTCCTGGAATTGCAGAACCAGCTCATGCCTGTAGCTTTGCCGGTTCTGACATGCAACTGACAACTGGGGGAACTAGAAAAGAAACCCACCAGACCCGGCATACTCGGAGGAACATTGTCAGGGAAGGCAGGCACTTTCCCTTCTCCACCTCCGGCTCCCCCTGGAGGTTTCCCGGGGAAGGTGAGGCTGGAGCCAAAGCTTGACGGCCCCGTGAGTGAGGCTTTTCCCCACGAGGAGGCGCACTTGCCTTAGCGGTGCCCAGAGCTGAGCGGGAGGGTCCTGCTGCCAGTAAAGTTTATAAAGGACAGGAGCCTTCCAGTTCCCAGCCAGAAAGCGAAGTGTGAGACGACATGGAGACAGAGACGCAGCAAGACAGACAGATATACAGAGACACACAGATATGCAGAGACACAGAGAGACACAGGGATAGAGACAGAGAAAAACAGAGACAGAGAGTATGAATGGGCAAAAGCAACATTTGTCTCCCAAGTGGGAGGGGAGGTTATTCAGGGCTGTGGAGGGCATGTTCTCCTGACCAGAATCTGCCCGTGTGAGGATGCTGGAAGGGTGGTCCAGGCCTGAGACCCCTGGAGCTACAATTGCTGCCCCCTCACCCAGAACCCTGGTGAGGCAGGCACCCAGCCTCGGACTCCAGTTGCCCGCCTGCCTGCGAGGGCGATTCTGCTGTCCCTTCGCTCTCCCTCCCCACAGCCAGAACACATTTGCAGTGTTACTCTAAAATGAGTAACAGCAAGATCTTTGGAGTCAGATAGACCTGGGTTTGAATTTAAGCAGTTCCTCTCCGGAATGTTTGACCTTGAACACTTTGCTTGACTTCTCTGAGCCTCAGTTTCTTCATCTGTAAAATGGGCATACTAATGACACCTACATGACAGGCTTGTTTCAAGGTTTAGAAAAAGAGTACATGTGAGGCGTTTCTCACAGCGCCTGTCTTACGGTGAATGCTCAGAAGTGTCAGCTCTTATTATTGTTATTACAGCCCCCAAAGAAAGGCCTTCAAAGACCCCGATCTCTAGCCTCCAACACTCTTACCTGGGTTTCCCGTGTCCTCTGTGCTGTGTCTTCTGCTTGGGTTTCTAGTTGTCCGCTCAGCGTTTGTTCTGTATTTGTGGCTGTGAGTTTTCTTTGTCTACTTTCTTACTGCCTCCTCCCTGGGGGCAGAACTGCCAAAAGAACACATGGGGTTTGAAGTCAAGGACCCAGGTTCCCCCAGCACTTCTCAGCTGTGTGACCTTGGGTAAGTAACTTAAGTCCTCTGAGCCTCAATTTTCTCAGTTGCAACAGAGGAATTTGGGGGAGAGGCAATTCAACCCGTGACAAATAGTAACACCTAAACGTGATAATTATTTCTTCTTCTGTATCTTCCACTGTACCTGCCCAGTGCTAGGCACACGGCAGGGGTCAGTACATTCTTGTTTCAAAAACAAGAAAACTTGATGTGAATAAACTTCCCATCTACAAATAAGAATGATGCAGAACTGAGCTGGAACACCAGTGGACCAGCTTTAAGCACACTTACGTGGGAAAATCCAGATTTACACAAAAGACAAAACTGTCTCTAATAATTTGTTTTATAAAAGGCCCTGCCACATAATCCTTCAGGTTCTTTAAAAGTAGTATTCAAGTTTCCCCGGGCTTCATGCTGTTGTTTTTTTTAAATTGTGGTAAAATATGCATAGCATAAAATTTACCATCTTAGGCACTTTTTAAGTGTTCAGTAGTGTCAAGGACATTCACATTGTTGTGCAACCGTTACTACCATCCATGTGCAGGACTTTTTATCTCCCCAAACTGAAGCTCTGGCCCATTAAACAGTTCCCTGGTGCCCTCTGCCCCCAGCCCCTGGCAACCCCCACCCTCCTTTCTGTCCCTGTGAATCTGACTACTCTGGGAACCTCATGTAAGTGGAATCGTACACTATTTGTCCTTTGGTGACTGGCTTGTTTTACTTAGCACGATGTCTTCAAGGTTCATCTACGTTGTAACACGTGTCAGAATTTCCTTCCTTTTTAAGGCTGAATGATATTCCATTTTTTATTTTATATATCACGTTTCGTTTATCCATTCATCTGTCGATGGACATTTGGGATGTTCCCATCTTTTGGCTGTTGGGAATAATGCTGCTGTGAACATGAGTGTACAAATATCTCTTCAAGACCTGTTGCTGAATCATATAGTATTATAGTTTTACGTTTTTAGGGAGCTGCCATACTGTTTTCCAGAGCAACTGCACTATTTTACGTTCCCACCGACCGTGCACAAGGGCTCTGATTCCTCCACATGCTCGCCAACACCTGATGTCGCCTATGTTTTGGATAGTAGCCATCCTAATGAGTGTGAGGTATAGTGTCCTTTTAATAGTAATAACCCACATTTCTTCAACTTTGGGCTAACAGGGCCACAGCCTTCTTTGAAATACCTTCAGGTGAGTCTAATTTTCCAGGGTTTTTGTCCCATCAGTGCTCATGACAACCCTCTCTTGATGGATGCCTCTGCAGTTCCGCTCTTTCCCACTGGACACTGGGGTAAGGGGCTTCACAGGCCTGGCTGAGAGGGCCCTGCTGGCTGGAGGTG